GAAGAGAGGGTTTGCACTAGCAGCAGTTGGCATACATATAGGAAACCCTAATTGGGTTGTACTCGCTCTAGAGTACCCCACTGCAGGCTAGACAATTATAACATTCTGACAGGACAGACGGGACGGGACGGACGGACGGGACGGACGGAAGGGACGGGACGGGACGGGACGGACGGACGGGACGGACGGAAGGGACGGGACGGGACGGGACGGGACGGGACGGACGGACGGGACGGACGGAAGGGACGGGACGGGACGGACGGGACGGACGGCGCGACGCGGACAGGCAGCGCGACGTGGACGGACGGGACGAGACTGAAGGCGCGACGCGGACGGGCAGCGTGACGCGGACGGACGGGACGGGACAGACAGCGCGACGCGGACGGACAGCGCAACGGGCGCTAGGGCACGAGAGCGACGTAACGGCAGGCGCAGCGGGCGCTAGGGCACGAGAGCGACGTAACGGCAGGCGCAGCGGGCGCGAGGGCACGAGAGCGACGTAACGGCAGGCGCGATAGGCATTAGGGGACAGTACGAGCGTACCGTATCACCCCGGATAAAAGCGCAGGTGCGCTTATAATAAAACAGTGTTCTTTGGGGGGGTGCGCTTCTAATTGAGGTGTCTGTATAAGCGCATGCGCCTATAATAAGGAAAAAAACGAAATTCACTTTTAAACATACTAAACTGAAGCCCGCAATAAGGCGAATCCAACGGACCATGCAAAAAGTGGGATCGTGCATAGTTTCCAGGCAAAAACAGCTGCGGTTCGGTTTCCCACCGCACAAACCTGTCCAGAACCATCGAAAGAGACAGCAGTGACGGGGATGTTGCCGTGCGGCCCAATCACAGCCGCATGCGATGCGTGGCATCTGCATTTCTTCCGAACCCTCTCAAAGGGTGGGGAAGATTCCCTACCAGCGCAGCGCATATGCTGCCACGCAGGTTCCTCTACGGGGGTAGGCGGGGGTTTCCTGCATGTCATTGACGAGGACCCCGAGCCGCTAGCCCGCAGGGGTCCCCGTCGTTGCCCATTTCTGCACCCTCCTCATTTTTTTCATTCAGTTTCTAGTCTAGCCCGCCTGGCGGGCGAAGCCATGGCGGAATTCAGTGGGACACACTTCCTTTTCAAGAAGAAACCAACCCGCGCCTGGCGACTAACCTCGGACGGGTGGTATACCCGTGAGCCACCAGTGCCTCCAGTGCCACCTACACCCCCTGCACCGCCTGCTCCGCCTGCCCCTCCTGCACCTCCTGCTCCTCCTGCTCCTCCCGCTCCTCCGAATCCTCCGACTCCTGTTCCTGACGCGAATTCTCACCATCGGCCCGTGCTCGAACTGTATTTGCCTGCCACTTTCGACGAGTGGCTGTCTGAACCGGACACACCCAAGGCTAAGCGAATCGATGCTCCGCCGACTGCTCCGCGGTGGGGAAATCCTGAAGCCTGCACGTGGGACGAGTCGGCTGTGGGCGCCGACGATGACGTGGCCGTCGATAAACAACCCACATGCGACGGCGACGGTGGAGTCTACGGTGAAGAGGGCGCCGAGGAGGACGTGTTCCCAGATCGTGAAGCTACAGACGCGGACGACGACGGTGTGGAATCTTGGTGGCGCGACGCACCACGCGAGAAGATGTCGATACCGACGTATCCGCCGCTTAACAAAAAACGACCCCACCCCTCCTCTGAGAACCGAGATGCCCGCCCCCCCTCTCCCAGGCACAAGCCGACTCAACACAAACGGCAGCGCTACACCGCCCAGGAGAAACTGAAGTGGCTTGTTCGGCTGGAGCTTGCGGCATCGATAAGCGAGGTCGCGCGGGAGTCCGGCATTCACCGCAAGTGCCTCACGGAGTGGAAAAACCAAGCGGAGGAGCTCAAGGCTGCACACAGCGCACGGTGTCGACTTCATGGGCGCGGAAGGTCTTCCTGGTACAGACCCATGGAGATGAAGGTGTACTCCCAACTCCTGGAATGGCGACGCCGCGGTGTGGCAGTATCAGTCGGCCGGCTGCAAGAATGGTCAAAGGAGGTGATGAAGGTGTTGTTCCCGGACGTCAAGTGGAAGGCGAGTCAGCGCTGGACGGAGCGGTTCCACAAGTGGTGGAATCTCACCGTACGCATGAAAACAAAGGTGGCGCAAAAGACACAGCAGCGTAAGTGCATGTCCGTGCACTGTCATCCTATCGTGAAATTCTATCTTGTATTAATGTCAACTTTCTTGCCCATGTCTGTTTAACTGTAGCGTGCTCATCCTCCCTTTTAACCGTCCCTCCCTCCCCGTGCGCAGACGTGGCGAAGCAGTGCAAGGAGTTTTGGCAGTTTGTCCGCGACGCACGCCACGAGTACGACATCGACAGCCGTTACATCATCAATGCCGACCAGACGCCCTTGTGGTTGGAGATGCCGGCGACTACCACGGTGGAGCACACGGGCGTGAAGTCGGTGCCCATCCGCAGCGGTGGTTACCAGAAAGAGAGGGTCACTGTGATGCTGGCGTGCACGGCTACGGGCGAGAAGTTGAAGCCGTGGGTGTTTTTCAAGCGCAAGACCCTCCCAAAGGGTGACTTCCCGAACGGTAAGAAGCTGTGTATGCGCGTTTTTCCGAGGGGAAAAACAAAACTACAATCTAAGCACCGCTTGCTTGTATGCAGATGTCGTGGTCGGCTGCCAAGCTAACGGGTGGATGGAGGCCTCGGGCGTCATCGAGTGGCTCGGTGCAGGCGTGGTGGCGTTCCTGAAACCGAAGTTCGGATTGCAGAGCCGGAGCGCCATGCTGGTGCTCGACTCCTATCGTGGTCACCTGACACCCGAAGTCAAGGCGAAGTTCGCGGAACTCAACATCGTGCCGACGGTCATCCCGGCGGGATGCACGGCAGACTTGCAGCCGCTGGATGTGTCGATCAACAAAAGCTTCAAGGCGAGTGTTCGGTAGCAGTACCAGACCTGGTTTGAGCAGGACGGCATGAACCTCCTGACACCCGCAGGTACGCCAAGTGTTCTCCCGTGACCGCTTCGCTCGCTTGTCTGCCTGCTTGTGAACTCACGTGTTTCCCACCCCCATGTATGTGGCGCAGGGAACATCAAGAAACCAGCTCCGGAGGTGGTGCTCAAGTGGATTTCACGGGCGTGGAAAGCTGTGCCCGCCGACCTGATTAAGCGTGCGTTCCTCACCTGCGGCATCAGCAATGCCCTTGACGGGAGTGAAGACGGACTAGTGCTGGCGCACCGGAGAGGTCAGCTGTCCCACGAGGTGGAGGTTGATGACGACATCCAAGCAGACGGGTTTTTTGGCAACAACTCCACTGAGCCTGAATCGGACGAGGAGTAGACCTTAGGCTATACTTATCTTGAAAATGGTGTGTAGGCTAGGATTCTAGTCTAATGTATTTGACTTGAAAATTTTAGTTGAACTTATTAGCTAGAGAAAGGTAGTTTGTACGTAGGTTGTAAAGAAAGTGAAAAAAACAACATATATTCTTGTCTATACAGCAAGGGTGCGCTTATAATGAGTACCGTTTTTTTAGATGGTGCGCTTCTAATTGAGGATCGGCCATAAGCGCATTGCTCCAGATAGAAGCGCATGCGCTTAACATAGGCCTGCGGTTATATCCGGGGCGATACGGTAACGGGCACTAAGGTACGGGACAGGCTCGGGCGTTACGGACGTGAACGAGAGGAACGGGATCCCACAGGATCCTACCCTAGGTGATACCATGTCAAGAATGTAAGTATTAGTTCATTGATGTGGGTTGGGGTACATATAACAAACCCTAACATCTGTACCCCCTAAGACAAACCTCACTATAGGCTACAACATTTGACAAATTATAACACCCACCCCGCACAAGCTACCCGCAGGTGTACAATTACGGGGGGGTGTTTTATCCGGGAGAATACGGTATCTTAAAACATGGTATCGTCATCATTGCCGGTCATGGTCCTTTGTAAAGATATGTGCAACAATACAGTACTCCTGTGGCGCAGGCACAGATGCACTCGTCAACCCATCAGCAAGACTTCACACGACGTGTGTGAATGGATGTTGAAATATATTTCATGGAAATGCATCTGGAATTACACACTCGATTAGATTCACATCAATAGAGATTTCATACCCCATCATCAAGGGTTTGTAATGTGATCTATGCTAAGGGCTAAAGCGTCCGTGTATTGGCATACGACAATGAGCTGCTGCTGAGTTACTATGTGCGAAATATGAACCGTATATGACATTGACTCGTTAGAAGCGTGTATGGAGAGCTGCGACTGGTGTGGGTGCAGCCATATCGGTGTTATGGAGGCAATTTTTTCTCGTGAACCTGGCCAAGAACTGGACACCTGGTTCTTATCCAACGAGGCAACGAAGAAATCTGCGGAGCTGGATGGCCAGGCTCGACACGCATCAGCTGCTGTCCAAGTGGGCAGAAAAGGAGTGGACTACGAGGCGCCACATTTTTTTCTGACGGCATCCTAACGTGGACAGAATTCAGGGTACGTGTGGAATCAGAAAATCCACGTCATGTGGGATCCTCTCCTGGGCGTATGGCCCTCATTTCTTGCGCCTCACATCTCTTCTTAGGTTTCGTTCGTCGCGGTGTGACTAAAGTGTACGTGGCAAGCCATGAGCCCTAAGCACTAAGTTTTTCCAGTATCGTTCACTAGGAATTTGAGCTTCTCTGAACACTGACCATGTTTCTCCCACCAACACTTACAGTAAATCATGACTTCTCTTGGTCCTGACGAAGGTAAATCCCTCTGGCTCAATTGGTCCACAATTCCCTGATCTCTGAAGATTTATCTATTGACCACCCCGATCCCAAGTTCCCCGTAGCTCCATAGTACTTCTACCCTTACCTGGGCTACGGAGCTCTGACCAGCTGCCTAATTTCTGAAGTCCAAAATTTGGAACTTGTGAGTCAGCTCCGATTGTTCTACACGGCAAGACATCAGCAGCCACTTCCCTTAGCCGTCGCTCCTTACATTACATAGTCAGCTGAAATGGCTGCTGTTTCGCTGCACGCTTCCGCGGTCGTGGCACCAGTGGCGTCGCTCTCCACGCTCCAATCATCTCGGGCTATTGCATCTTCGCATCAAATTTCGCGAGCGGGTCTTCGCGTCCCGTCACTAAGGAGCGCCAGCGTAAGGCCACGACGTGCCGCGAGGATAACATGCGAAGCGGCTGGGACCAAAGCAGGTGAGGCAATTGATTCTCCTGATTATGTACGTGCGTTACGTGCCACAGGTGCACAGCATCAAGCTAATTCCTGTCAACGATAAGAGGTCAACATACAGCCCTAATGTCAGTTTCTTTGCTTTGTCAAAGCATTTCCTATGCCAAGAATGGCAATTGCTCCGATTTCTCCTTTTTTTTTTTTCTAAGATTCGGTAGCCTTAACTGTGAGTCGGAAGGTTATGTTATCATGCGCGATCTAACCTTCATGCTCACTTGGTTTCTCACTATTCATACTTCTTTAACTCCTGCTCCTCTCCCTGTCTACTCCGCTCACCCTTCCTCCTCCTCTCACTCGTCCTCTCGCTCGTCCTTCATCCTCCTATCGTTCGTCCTTCGTCCTCTTCTTACTCGTTCTTCCTCCTCCTCTAACGCGTCCTCCTCCGCTCACTCGTCCTCCTCTCTATCGTCCTCCTCCTCTCACTCGTCCCCTTTCTCTCACTCGTCCTCCTCTCGATCGTCCTCCTCTCACTCGTCCTCCTCTCGATCGTCCTCCTCTCACTCGTCCTCCTCCTCTCACTCGTTCTCCTCCCCTCACTCGTCCTTTTGCCAATCGTCGTCTCACTCGTCCTCCTCTCGCGCGTCCTCCTCCTCTCGCGCGTCCTCCTCTCGCGCGTCCTCCTCCTCTCGCTCGTCCTCCTCCTCTCGCTCGTCCTCCACCTCTCGCTCGTCCTCCTCCTCTCGCTCGTCCTCCTCTCGCTCGTCCTCCTCCTCTCGCTCGTCCTCCTCCTCTCGCTCGTCCTTCTCCTCTCGCTCGTCCTCCTCCTCTCGCTCGTCCTCCTCTCACTCGTCCTCCTCCGCGCACTCGTCCTCCTCCTCTCACGTCCTCCGCCGTGCACTCGTCCTCTTCTCACTCGTCCTCCTCTTCTCACTCGTCCTCCTCTTCTCACTCGTCCTCCTCTTCTCACTCGTCCTCCTCTTCTCACTCGTCCTCCTCTTCTCACTCGTCCTCCTCTTCTCACTCGTCCTCCTCTTCTCACTCGTCCTCCTCTTCTCGCTCGTCCTCCTCTTCTCACTCGTCCTCCTCTTCTCACTCGTCCTCCTCTTCTCACTCGTCCTCCTCTTCTCACTCGTCCTCCTCTTCTCACTCGTCCTCCTCTTCTCACTCGTCCTCCTCTTCTCACTCGTCCTCCTCTTCTCACTCGTCCTCCTCTTCTCACTCGTCCTCCTCTTCTCACTCGTCCTCCTCTTCTCACTCGTCCTCCTCTTCTCACTCGTCCTCCTCTTCTCACTCGTACTCCTCTTCTCACTCGTACTCCTCTTCTCACTCGTCCTCCTCTTCTCACTCGTCACTCATCCTCCTCCTCTCACTCGTCCTCCTCCTCGCACTCGTCTTCGTCCTCGTTCTCGTTCTTCCTCCTCCTCCTCTCATTCGTCGTCCTCCCCTCACTCGTCACGCTTTTTTCATCCCATCACTAACATGTTCAAGCCCCTCCGTACACGCATCGCCACCTTTCCTCGCCTCGCATCAGCTGTCCCCTCTTCCTGCCATCCGCGCATCTCCAACCACATAACTTCTTTCCTCCCCCACCATTCTCTGTGCAGTAAAATGCATCTTGTCACCACAGTCTTTGACCGCCACTGTAACCCAGTTCCCCCCTCCTCTATGTTTTCCCACCCATCCTCGCAGCAGCAGGAGAGGTGACTGACGCGACGTTCAAGCAGCTGGTGCTTGAGAGCAGCACGCCTGTGCTGGTGGACTTCTGGGCCCCCTGGTGCGGCCCGTGCCGCATGATCGCGCCTCTGATTGACGAGCTGGCAGTGCAGTATGCAGGCAAGATGGCGTGCTACAAGCTCAACACGGACGACAGCCCTGGCGTGCCCACCGAGTATGGCATTCGCAGCATCCCCACCGTGCTGGTGTTCAAGGGCGGCAAAAAGGTGGATGCGGTCATTGGAGCAGTTCCCAAGGCCACGCTCGTGGCTACTGTTGAGAAGTACCTGTAAATGTGGCGTGGTGGATGAGCTGTTGGCTGCTCCGGGCTGCTGAGTATGGGGTGTCTTGATTTGAGTTAGGATCGCTGTTTTATATACCAATTTGGATGAATTGGTGCTGCATTTGGTGCCGCTTCTGCAGTTGGGCGGCAGTCTAGTATGAAAGATATCTATGGCTATGTAAACAGCTTGAATACTTGTCGTAACAAGTTAGTCTGTGCGTCTGCCTAGTAAAAGATTGTACCGTACCCTGTGTGATCATCTCACAAACGGTACCATATCCTTCAATTTGATCAGTTCTTGGGCACAACCCTGTGAAATCCACTTCCACAGTTCTTGAACAGTTCAGCAATATACACATGACCCCACAACATCCACCTTTCGCCTCAACCCTGAAAAATCCATTCTCACTGTGCCCTAAGGTTATCAACAGGCCAAGAAACACCTACTGGAATGCATGCTGTGCAGACAATTGAAGGCCTGATACACGCATGTTATCCAGGGCTTCAGATTCGTTTTGGGCCACCCTTAGTAATCAGGGTTCTAGGTAGAGTCAACCCTGATGCCTGGGGTAAAATTTTTGTTTCCCTGACAAATGCAGGGTAAAAAAACTGTAAGTCTGTTTGGCCAGGGTATTTGTACATTGCCGAGTTAGTCAAATTCAGCACTTAGTGGCTCAGTTGGTTAGAGCGTATGAAATTTTGATATCTCGTATCTCTCCGCCATCCATACCTAAACTAACGCTATTCGCGCCGCTTTCCTCGCTAAGAACAAAATTCAACGGTCAAGATTCAGAACAGACTTTTGTTTTTGACTATCTTCAGCCTTCTCGTCAAATAGATATCTTTCTTACTACTACTCGACTAACTCAACTCTTATTCTCAACTTCGACCCTTACTATACTATTACGATACTGAAACGCTACTTATTCTTCTTCGGCATCTCACGGTAATCCTTACTCTAATAGTAATATTCAGCCTTAGAGTTTTAAGACAGAATACAGCTCTCGATTTTTTATTACCACCTGACTCTAACTATTTCGAATTCCACGTTAATACCTACCTTTCTGAACTTCGACAATCTCTAGCCCTCCCTTCCACCTTAATCTCAACTACTTTATTACCTCGTAAGCTTTTCCGTTTCCTATTATCCTTCACCTGAGCTGCTTTTTCCTCGTCAATTCTTCACACTGCCCCATGGCATCCAACGCGTGCAACGAAAACCACCAGGATTCGCAAGACAAGGACAACTCGCCAAATCCTTTACAGCGAAACATCCCCACCGACCTGACAAACCCATCACCTAAGATTATAGACGACCTGGCGAGAACAACACTTCGCCTAGTTACTTCGCCTTCTTCAAATCTTATCTCTCACAATCACCAATCTCAACTTCACGACAAAGCCTCCACTAGCCATCCACAGACAGAAACAGTCACTCCATGCGACCACCCGCTTTTACCCACTCCACTTGCACTTCCACCACCTGTGCCACCTGTATACCGATGTAAACACTGTCCCAAAACGTGCTCGACACCTCGTACCCTCACGCAGCACCAGAAAACATGCAAAGCCGCTGCCGATAAGCACAAGTCTCAAACAGAAGCTCAACTCACTCCCGTTCCTTTAGCCACAGAACACCCCCACCAAGATGTCAGAACATATATATAGCTTATGCTGTTGTGTAGGCTATAGTGGGGTATCCCATAGGGGGTACAACTCAATTAGGGTTTCCTATATGTACTCACTTCATTCATAGTTCATCCATTCTCTCGTTCTACTTTTCTCATGGTATCGAGCAGGTTCCCTCGTGGGAACTGTTCCTAGGGCCCACCGTTTTTTTTTTTCCTGCCCGGAGCGCACTCTGCCCCTACCCGAGTCGCGCTCCCCTCTCTCTTGGCCCCTAGTGGCCCCTTTAGCCGCTCGTCACGGCCCTTAGACGCCTGCGCGCCGCCCGTCCCGGCCCCTAGACGCCAGTGCGCCACCCGGCCCGGCCCCTAGACGCCCGCGCGCCGCCCGTCCCGGCCCCTAGACGCCCGCGCGCCGCCCGTCCCGGCCCCTAGACGCCCGAGCGCCGCCCGTCCCGGCCCCTCGACGCCCGCGCGCCGCCCGTCCCGGCCCCTCGACGCCCGCGCGCCGCCCGTCCCGGCCCCTCGCCGCCCGTGAGCCGCCCGTCCCGGCCCCTAGACGCCCGCGCGCCGCCCGTCCCGGCCCCTAGACGCCCGCGCGCCGCCCGTCCCGGCCCCTAGACGCCCGCGCGCCACCCGGCCCGACCCCTAGACGCCCGCGCGCCGCCCGTCCCGGCCCCTCGACGCCCGCGCGCCGCCCGTCCCGGCCCCTCGACGCCCGCGCGCCGCCCGTCCCGGCCCCACGCCGCCCTACCTGCGGCCTACTCGCCGCCCTACCTGCGGCTCGCCCGCCGCCCTAACTGCGGCCCGCCCGCCGCCCTACTTGCGGCCCTACCGCCGCCCTGCCTGCGGCCCGCCCGCCACCCTACCTGCGGCCAGCCCGCTGCCCTACCTACGGCCCGACCGCCGCCCTACCTGCGGCCCAACCGCCGCCCTACCTGCGGGAGCCGCCTAGCAGCAGAACCGCCGGGAGCCGAGCCGCCCTGCCGCCGAGCCGCCCGGGAGCCGAGCCGCCCTGCCGCCGAGCCGCCCGGGAGCCGAGCCGCCCTGCCGCCGAGCCGCCCGGGAGCCGAGCCGCCCTGCCGCCGAGCCACCCGGGCGCCGAGCCGCACTGCCGCCGAGCCGCTGAGCAGCCGAGCCGCCCTACTGCCGGGCCGCCCGACCTGCCCTGTCCGGTGAGCACAGCCCCACTGTCCCTGCGTGCCCTTCCCCTACTGCTTGCACTGCTCGTCTGTCGTCGTCATGGCTACCCCTAGTGTCCTCGCTTTTGACGCTGAGGGTCGAGCCATTGACTTTGAGGTCTGGGTTGACGACCTGCAGCTGTTCTTACAGTGCGATAGGGCGGACGGTCTTTCCCTCTTTGACCTCACCTCTGGCGCCTCTCCTGCCCCTGCTACTGATGCTGACCCCACTGTTCGCTCTCAGTGGGCCACCCGCGATGCTGCTGCACGTCTTGCTGTGCGTCGCCACCTGCCTACCACTGAGCGCGCGCACTTTAGTCAGTACAAGAGTGCTCAGACCTTGTACGACGCTGTAGTTGCGCGCTACTCTTCCCCTGCCACTGCTGCCCTGAGCCGCCTCATGCTACCGTACCTCTTTCCTGACCTTGCTGCCTTTCCCACTGTCGCTGACCTCATTACGCACCTCCGCACTAGTGACACTCGCTACCGCGCCGCCCTTCCTGCTGAGTTCTGCGCCAAGAACCCCCCCCCCATGTACATCACTCTCTATTACATCGTCACACGCCTCCCTGACTCCCTTCGCGTAGTCAGGGACCACTACCTCTCGGTCTGTCCCACCACTCTCACTGTCGACCTCCTCGAGAAGTCCCTCCTGGCGGCGGAGAAGAGCATCGTCGCTGTAGGAGCCTCTCGTGGTGACCCTCGCACCCCCATCTTTGAGGGGTGTTCTCCTTCCCCCCTGCTGCCCTCTGTTGCCTCTGCTGCTGCTGCCGACCTGCTTGGTCTTGAGTCGGTCTGCGCGGCGTCTGCCCCTAGCGGGAGACGCCGCCCTGGCAGGGGCAAGGGGGGCAAGGGCGCGGGTGGAGCTGGCGGGGGCGGTGGAGGAGGCGGTGGAGGCGGAGGAGGGAGTGGGGGTGGCGGTGGGAGTGGTGGCGGGGGCGGTGGTGGAGGTGGCAGCAGCGGAGGAGGAGGCGGCGGTGGCGGCAGCGGTGGGAGCGGAGGCAGCGGTGGTGGTGGAGGTGGAGGCAGCGGTGGCGGAGGGGGTGGAGCTGGTCGGGGTGGTGCCCCGCAGCGTAGCGGCCCTGGTGGTGGCCAGCGTCAGCAGCAGCAGCAGCAGCAGCAGCAGCGTTCGCGGGACATCCCCCCGCCCCAGCAGCTCCGTGAGTGGTACACGCAGCGTCAGCGGGGTGGGGGTTTTGGTCCGTGCACCTACGTCCTTCGTTCCGGCGACCGCGCGGGTGAGCAGTGTGGGGGTGCCCACACCACCCAGCGCTGCTTTGCCCGCCTGACGGACGCTTGGCGTCAGCAGTTCCCCGAGGCCAGTGAGATTCCCCGTTGGGGAGAGCTGTCTAGGGCTGGCGTAGCTGTCTTTGATCTTGACTTTGATGCTATCCTTGCTGCCATGTATGCTGTGACTATTAGTGAGGAGGGTGACTGTTACCAGTGTCTCCCGCCCGACCCGGGCATTGGTACTGCTGCGCCAGGTACTTCTGCGGCTGCTGCTCTAGGTGCCAGTGCGTCTGCACTCTCAGGTACTGGTGAGGCTGCGCTCTCAGGTACTGCGTCGGCTTCGGCCTCCCTCACCTTCACACTTGACTCAGGGGCTTCTCGCTCCTTCTTTCGAGACCGCACCACACTCACGCCGCTTGGCCGGCCGGTTGCAGTCTCCCTGGCTGACCCCTCTGGGGGTCCTGTCCTCTCTCACTTCTCCACTGTCCTCCCGTGTCCGGCTGCCCCCTCGGGCACCTTGTCTGGTCTGTACCTCCCCTCGTTCTCGACGAACTTGGTGAGTGGTGCTGACCTGCAGGATGCGGGGGTTCACCAGTTTACTCCTGCGAGTCAGCGGGTGACCCACTGCTCGGATGCCCGCACAGGCCGACACCTGGCCACGTTCTCGCGTCGGCCAGGGTCGAGTCTCTACACACTGACCACTGCGTCTCCTCCTGTCCCTGCGTCTGGCCAGGTAGCTGCGTCGGGTCAGGTGTTTGCTGCTGCGTCCAGGTCTGGTCCTGAGTCTGCCCCCTGCTCGTGTCGCCGCCTGTCTCACGAGACTCTCCTGTGGCACCACCGTCTTGGCCACCCCTCCTTGCTTCGTCTTCGGGGCATGGCTTCCCGTGTCCTTGTCTCTGGTCTTCCCCGGTCTCTCCCTCCCCTTCCTTCGGGACCCGGACCTTCTTGTGTCCCCTGTGTCGAGGGGCGGCTCC